ATTATGAGTAATAATAGACTACATAATTTAAGTAAATAGGTTAAATTAAGATATGGAAGTGAATTGACTTGAGTGATTAATCTTTAAATATTGGTAAATCATTTTTAAAGGTGATTATTATCAAAATTTTAGTGGGTTCTATTGATATTATGATGGTTCAATAGAATAGGGAATTGAATTGAACGCAAGGCTGTTAATTATTGTAGTTGACGAATATATCGAGGCAAAAATTCGGTTGATGGAATAATTATTTATTGGAAGTAGAATCACGAAGAAGAAGATGAATATGATGTTAAAAAGTGCAACAAATTATTAAATGCTAGTAGTGAGGGTAAATATTAAGAGAAGGTATTAGGATAATCCATTAAGGTTGGTGCAAAGGCTGACTTAAGTGAGGATAATTGAAAATTGAGATCCTCCTTCCATAAAATTCATTTAAAATAATCCCTACATTTTGTTAATGGCTTCACTACTATTGTACCGATGACAACTATCCCACTTTCCAATCTTAAATCCATTACTGTATTTTCCTTCATAAATGATTAGCCCTATTCTCTAAATGCATCACTCAACTCAATCCATATTCAACATTTAATCGAATATTTTTCATCATACCATACCCAGCTATTAAAATATTGTTCAATAGATAAGAAATGCACATAAATTATCCCCCAGCTGATGTATCCTCCCTCCAACATTTTTACCATTCATATACTCCGTGATACCTGATCTTGTTCGAATCTATTTCTTATATTTCTTACATTGCTTCATAACTCTTCTATAGTTGGAATTTTCAAAATAGCAAGTATAATTTTGCATTTTTTCTTTTTTACAATAGTTTAAATAAATATCCCATCTCTCTACTTTATTGCCCTTCTTGTATTCACCTTGATAAGTGATTTCTTAATAAATTGAGAAATAAGAACTAAATTAAATACAAAAACCATTCTTTTATCTTTATTAATACATTTCTTAATTTTTTAAAACAATACTTTTAAGTTCCTTTCCTCTAATCTTTCTCATACTCTCCTATTTAATAGACTTTAACTTAACTACTATGGAAATAAAATACTTCTGGTAATTTGGTATTAGTCCTTCAATTAGCTTTATTTTAATTCTTCTTTAGATTATGATGTATTCTCAACCGAGATCTGATAACTTTTCTCCTCTCCAAATTACTGTCCACCTAATAATTTTTCAATTATTTTATCCTAAACTTCCAATTCAATTTAAATACACTTATTTATTCTAAATTATTTTTATCTCAGATTCTTTTTGAGTATCTTGATATAATCAATAAAAAGGATTTAGTTCTTAATGTAATTACTTTCTTAGTATCATTCCTCTCTGGTTTATATGATTTTGTTATCTATTGTAAAAGTAACTTAAAATTTTATATTATTTCTCTTGCTGAATAATCAAAGATATCCCAATAATACATATCTAACTTTATTATAATTCTAATGATTTGATTTTCTTTTTTTAATTGCATTCACTTTCAAAAGACTAAATCATTTAATTGAAATTAATACTAATGTAGATGAGTATTAAAAGTTTAAAAACTTATTAAGAATCACAAATTCTCCCGAATTTAAGAGCAATAAGAATAATTTAAGAACATCCTTGGTTGGTATTAAATTATTGCGAAACTTTCAATAGACTCTTTACTTAATTCAAATTTATTAATTAAAAGAAAGGAAAAATTTTTATTTATTTGCTTTGTAATTATTATTCATTTGATTAAAAAAAATTTGATATTTTATCAATAATGCTATTGAGAATTTTCAACTAGAGTGTATTATTAATTATATTTTTAGTCATTGTGTTCATTTTATTCATTTGATATCCTGACTAATTTAGTTAACTCACATTATTTCTAAAAGTTATGATATAAAAGAGGTCTTTCAATAACAGAATTCTCGATCCATGTATCAACATGACCCTAAACTAATTCTTTATGATGCTTAGATGGGATTTGATTAAGGAAAAGGGATGTTGAGTTGGATTTAAACAGACTGAGGTCAAAAGTTAATCAAGTCAGTATGGAAAAATAAAAAGTGTCTAAATGACTAGCTCTTTGTTGAAACATGTATGCTCGCTCAAAAATATGAATATTTAAAAGTATCTATATTGTTATGGCGAAAGAGGCTTTAATACATTCGTCAAAATAAAGACCCTTCATGATTAAAATAGTAGTATTGAAGTATAAAAAAAGAAAAAAAGGTAATCTGCTAATGACTATTGTCTACAATCAAACACCAGCCATGTGAGTCCCCTATTTCGAAGCAAAAATACCTTGTTGTTAAGCATTCTTTAAAAAGTTTGAATTCTACCTATACTAACAACCTCCACAAAACTAGATTGGAAGGCTCCATTGAAAAAAATTCAATTCATTTTATAATTTGAGGAAATATAAACTAGGCAATGAGGATGAATTCGAAAAAACAAGACAGTCTCATCACTAGCTAATAAGTAGTATAGATGAAACCAAATGATCCATAAAATTATAGAAAAATAATTTGGGCTCATGAGGAATTCCATCACTGTTCAAATCACAAAAATTAGCTGAAATCATCAAAATACCAGAGAAGGATTCCTAGATAACTATTATTAAGAAAAAAGGATCAACTTATACCATTAACCATATTCTGTGACTGATACTATGAAAAATTAGAAATAAACCATAATAAAAGAAGGCCGATACCTTCTTGTTTGAAAGTTAAGCTATCACTATAAACATCAACTTGATACTCTCACTAGATTTAGATTCCTTAGGAGAATTGTCAGAATAAGGCCAATACTGGTAAAGAGTCAATTGTTGAAACTAATTGAGGTTTTTTTCTACCAAGATTTAGGAAAATACACAGAGGAACTCCTAGAAAATCTTGAATAGATTAATATTCAACAGATAAATAAATCTTCATGGTATCCATTATTAAAATAGTTTGATCAATTTATTGAACTATCCTCTGAATGTGTCTTTGAAAGAAGCATCAAAAGGTTTGAACTCTGATAAGAAATTTAAAATTTTGAAGATAAAGGATCTTTCTATTTACTCAAAAAAAAACAAATATTTTTTCTAATTGAATAGTACTTCTCTAAATTTCTTAACTAATGCTGAAGAGAGAGAAGTTACTCATATAAAGAAACTATTTATAACATCAATATAAAAGGAAAGTTTGTCTTAAAAAAATCACTATACATCGTTAGTTGAATCATTAATAATGGTTTTGAGTATCTAATAATTATTATTTTACTTGTGTCTAATTATATATTTATACCATATTCATAAAAAATCAATTGATTTTCAAGTTTATTTCATTTGTTACTATTACAATTTTAACCACTTCAAAATTTTTTACAATTTTTCTTATTAATGAATAATGCAAGTTACTTTTTGATTTATGGTATTAACTCGAAAAACTAATAGATTAATTAAATTTGTTTAAGGGAAAATTAAGGATCCAAGAAAATAAATGAATATTTAAACAATAAAAATTTTGAAAAATTCTAGTTTGATCGTGGTTAAAATTATTTCTTTTACAAGAATAATTTTAATTTTGCATGACTTAATCAGTTTATGGATTATGGTGTGATCTCTATGCATCATTTTATGTCATAGAAGTATTTATTAGTTTAAAATCAATATTATTGTGGAATATTTATGAAAAAAATGCTAAAATTTGTAAACATACCCAAATTTGCATTCATGAGCCAATGCCTATCCTCATTTTTAAGATTTTTGCTTCTGTCCCTACCATATTACTCCAGCAGTAGAGATACTTCATAAGTAGCGGTCTTAATAATAAATTAGATTGATATATTCTTCATCCTTATTAAATTCTGGATTTGTATTCTCTTCGACTTATTTTACACACTTCTTTCTCATTTTAAGACTTTTAAAATGGTTATATCTTTCTATGATTCACGTGTGCTTCTTGAGCCTTTTTTTTGATTATGAATATTTATCACCTTTTATTTATATGTCCTGTATTGAATATCAAGATTTCGTACTTAAATCAAAAATCATTTTATCTTTTTGTTGTTGCATAATTTTTTGATAGTTCCTCTTTATCTTCTTTGTTATCAAACAATTAAGGAAAGAGCCTTTTGAATGAATATACTCTTACGGTTACAATTCAAATATCCTACAAGTTCATTGAGATGTTACTGTCATTATTTTTTATGTTTTATGTTGGTTGTTTAATTTGTTGATTTATTGGAATGAAAATTTGTTAATATATTAATTATTTAATATGTGCCAACTAAAATAAATAAATGCCCAAAAATATCATAAATAATTGAACATAAACTATTTGATCTTTTATGTGAAAAATATATAACTTCATTAAAATTTGTAAACTCTAATCATAACTTTCAGTGAGTATGGAATAATAAGCTTGTATTTCTGAAATTTTAGATTAAGAATATTTATTCTGCCCTTCATTAAGGCTATAAAATAGCGGTTATCATAATAGTTTAATGAAATTCATCTTAAAAGTTAATTCTTATGTTAAATAATAAAAAACTTATTTACTTTAAATTACTCTATCATGTTGATCTTAATGAATCCAAAAAGATTCTTGATAAATTTCTATATATATTTCTAGAATCATCCTCTTTATAATTTAAATTCGAAATCTTATAATTCAAAAATAAATATTATTTTATTAATAATTTCAATTTATCTAATTTATAAAATTAACATCTTTTGATATAATGATATATGGTAATTATTCTAAAATCATTAATTCTTTTGATAATTGAATCTCCCTTTATCATTACAGTTAAATTAAGTTTTCTCCAAATGAGTCTTTTATATCCCAAGAATAATAGTAAGAGATTTTTAGCTTGAATTCTGATGTATTATTTTTTTCTATTTGAATTTCATACAATAAAGTTTAAACATACTTCAATTAATCTGAATTAAGAAATTTTATTTTCCCTCAAGTAATTATTGATTCAAAAATTATTTAGAAAGTTCAAATATATCTACTAATTTCACAACACCTGTCTTTAGAAAATTTCTCAAAAATTTCAAATTACACAGGGGAAATAACAAAAGTAAATGAGCATTTAATTAGGACAGTATATAAAACAAGAAATGAAAAAGAAGTATAAATATTAATTTATTGACAATTGAGCTGTTTTAAAAAGGTTTGTCCAATTGAGATGTTATAGATACCAGTGACAAGTGTTTTACCATTACTAGAATAAGAAATTGATGTAACAATTCCAATTTAACCATCTAGGTTTTACAATAAACTTCAGCTCTAAAGAATTAGGTGTTGAATTAGATGACTTAAATTGGATTAGTATGACATATTATAAATATTGATCAAACCCTCATACAAATATAGCAGTAATTGATTTTAGATAATATTTGCAGTAATATAATGATCCTTTAGAACAACTTTAAGTTCTCAGCTATATATTTGCACCAAGATCGGAGCCTAATATTGTTAGATAGTATAAATCCTTAAATTAGAATAAAAGTATTAAGTGGAGAAAAATATAGGAACACATATTTAGGGCCTATAAATACCATAATTTTGTCCATCTAATTCATCATAAATGCAATAAGCCCAGACAATAATTATGACTCTAAATTTAATCTAACAAATCGAGATATACCTTAATCATTAATTTATAATAAGGCTTTGATATACATGTAAATTCTTTTAATGAATAGTCTGATTTAATGAAGAGACAAGAATAATGCAATAAATGTATATATAATTTTACATGGTCGTAGAGACATCAAATCCATATATTTATATTGAAAAGGAAGGTTACATCAAAATTCTAATCGGTGTGGAATTATTTTTATCAAAACGCATTGAACATATATAAGTTCACCCACTATTAATTAGTACTTAGAATGTTCTCGACAAAGTGATGGCCTAGATCAAATCATAAAAGTTAAGACCTAATCCGCTTTCTAAGGACTTTCAGTCTTCCAGGGAAATATTTTTAGATTTTTTCCAGGAAGATTTGCTAAAATGGCCTGGCAGTTACAGTCCTTCCAGGAAATTATGTGCAAACCGGAATATTTTTAATTAAGAGTTTTCCAAGGCTTAATTTGTTAACTGTTCATTTTATAACCCTTTATTTCCTTATTCCCCAAATGTTTTCTAATGGGTTAAATATAGGACTATAAGGAAGGAGAAATAAATACTAATATTCTTGGTAATTTATTAAATAATATGTTTTTAAACTATGAATCAAACAGTTATCCTTACTATGCAGAATTTGTTATCCTTAAATGTTTTTGGCTTCCATTATTATGAATCAAATATAAACCAAAAAATAAATTTATATCCAGTCCAGTCCCAAATATTATTCAATTCTAATGAATGATTTATCCCCTATGCATCCGAAATCATTCATGCTTTCATTAACTTTGAAAAATTGTCTATATTTAGTATTTGCATTAGCTATCTGCCAGCAGTATAAATTGCTTTAAGATTGCCCAAACATTGTTTCATCGAGAAAGGCAGTGAATACCCATTATTTTTCAAAGTGGCCCTACAATATTCTTAGATATTATTGCTGGTAGTTTGTTTCAAAGATTGTAAGGGAACTTATTTATAAGATATTCCGATTCTTCTCATATACTTTTTGAAAAGCTTAAACTTTATTCTTAAGTATTGATGATAAAAACATATTTTACACATTCTGCTGCTATATAATAAATAATTTTTGAATCGTTCTAAAATTTAAAATACCATATAGAATGCTCTTTTAGAAAAGAAAATATTTCTCTTTTGGAGTCTAAGAAATAAATATATTGGAGGTTTTGGATACTTTAGACAAGCAGCTATTGTCTCTAATGAAAAGTTTTATTCATATAAACTCAAGATGCCTTTTTGGGTACTAATGTAGATTGATAATTATTTGGATAAAAACCTTAAGTATCTTTTTCTTAATTATTTTCCCAAGCTAGATGCTCTTTACTATTTTATTCAGATAAGGTATGAGTCCTTTTAGTTATTTATTATTTTTCTCTATTTTATGTTAAAAATGACTATGAAGTATAATCTGTTCAATTATTAAGGCATCTTCTTTTCATCTTGAGCCATAATTGCTGGCTGAAAAGGTAGAAACATTTTCTCTAATATTACGAAAGGATTTCTATTATAGCAAATGAAAGAAAATTGGATAAGGACTGCTCATTACTGAATTAATCTTCAATATCGTCTGAATAACAATAATTCTCACCCATAATAATAAATTTTAATTGATGCTCTTTGAATTCTTTTTATACATTTAGTGCATATTTTCAGAATGAAATTTAAATTTTTTAATACAAAATAGGTTTTCACTTTAATAATGCTTTCATTTATTAAAAATTTCATCACCTATTTGTATCCATTTATTTTTTCATAATAGTCCAATTTAGAATGAAAGTTGTTTGCACCAAAATTAAAAAAAATGTCTGATAACAAAATCTAGCAAATATAAAGGATTTAATTTGGGTTATGCAAACAATGTTAGATTGAAAGTCAGAATTTGAGGAGATTACAAACCCTGAAAATGGGAAATAAAAACAGTGAAATATTAATTCGATTGAATTGGACTTAAATTAGTCGATCGTACTTCATTTGATATAAAAACAGAATAAATTAAAAATTATAAAAATTATTTTAAGCTGTACTATAGCTCATTATGGATATTCTAATATTCCAATAAAAATTGAAAACTTAAAGATTGATTATTTTTTGAATATGTAATTTTTTTTTTTTAATTTTTCAGAGTCAGAAAGAACATTTCCTTCATTTAACTCTATAAAAAATTCCTAGAATTGCTATCATCTTATAATATTGATTGAAAAGTTTACAAACAGACAGCATTATTTGAAACAAATTCTTTTATTATATTATAGAAATTTAATTGATTAAATGGCAAAAATCATTTTTTGTTTTCATTCCTTATTTTAGTATAATCATACATTACGATCGATTCAGGATCTTACATCGATCTAAATTACACATCAGGTTTCAGCTGTTAGAATAATTACTAAACAACTAGAACTATTACATTTTCAAATACATTTTAGAATGTCCCTTAGGTGTTTATGTATTAATATTAATTTGACACTCCTAATTAGTAGACTGAATATTAATTTTCAATCACCAGCATCACAAATACGAGTAAGCTTCTATTTTTACAATTGTAGATTTTTAATTTTTTGTTACATGCACCAAGGCTGCTCTAGTATGGTCTCTCCGATATGAATGGGTAGCGATAGATGATAAAAGAGTTTAAGTGATAAATTCCTTTAATATGAACCCACCACAGGATAAAGTATTCAATCATTAATTACTTAATGTTGACACTGCAATAATAGGAGTCACAAGTATGGGTTACATTGGTTAAATCGATTTTTAGTTATCGGTAAAAATTTTTTCAATAATCTCAGATTACTTAGATAACAGTAAACAGTGTTTCGGTTTCAATCACTAAAGTGAGTGGTAAGTTTCAAAATTTGGTACAAATAGGTTACTAAATCCTATTAGTCTCCTCTAGAGACATCATCAATAATGGACTGGTTACTCTCTAGCCTGATTATACTAGTGCTGCAATGAATTTAGAATAAAATAAGTGGTTAATATTGCCAACTCAAGGAATACAATATAGCTATGCAGGTCAATTAACTATAAGAATGTAGAAAAACATTGTAGCTTCAACAGTTACGTTTAGTTTTACAAAGTGTAAGATTATATATTGATATAGGGCAAACTTATAGTACTCTTTTTAGAATTTAAAGTGTCTGGTTGTCATAAATGTTTGCTGTAAATTAAGCACTTTAATGCAAAACATTAAGAATAAGTTAAAAGTTAGATTATTCATAATGTAACAGGTCATTATTTGAAATCTAAATACTTCAATCAAATTTAATATATGATACAATTGGACAATTTACAACTACCGTCTTTAAACCCATAACGAATGTTGATTTCGTTCTGTTAGTAAATTTTATAACTGGAAAGCATGTAGTATCTTAATTTAATAAATGCAATGCTTGTCCCACATAAAAATATTATTAATTTAACCACTATTGTCACTCATAAATTAATTTAAT